GGGACTCTCAAAACGAGTTACGGGTCCAATAAAGCAGCCCAGCAGTCGCAGCGAGGCCAGTGGATCGGCCTAAAGACTGTGTTGCTACGAGAAGTCACGTGGAGGTGAGACTGGACGAATTGCTCCACTGCGACTGAGCTTTGTCATTTCATCTGTGTAGGATGTGTTACCCTAAGGCGCTAACATGGTCACGTGCCACTGATGACCCGACATGTCCCTTATGCAAAGATAAGCAGACGCTCGAGCATGTACTGACCGTGTGCAGAAAACCCCTAGCTCAGGGACGACACACATGGCGCCATAGTAAAGTCCTGAAAGAGTTGACAGACATTGTGAATAGGCCAGGATGCGGGAAAACACGAGGGCCAGTCCTAACGTTCCTACCATGCGCTTCCTCAAGACTGGGCAGATTTCTAACGGTACATAAAACAAGGTCGCATACGCCCCTTCCATACTCGACTGTGCAAGGCACTGGTTACTGGCGGTTGACCTTTCTGGTTTTGAGAAATACCCCGAGCCAGTGCGAAAGACCGGCCTGAGATCAGATGTGGTTTTACAATCTGCGACAAAATTTCTCTGTGGCGACGCTGTGGCTTTCTGTGCGGATGTGGCATACAGTGAATGTCTGTGTGGGAGGTGGGAAATGTGGGAATGTTGCAGAATCTTCACACACATACACACTCACATACACCCACAAGCACCCACCCACGCACACACCCACTCACATACACACTTATACACACATATATATTTATATAACACCCACACACACTCACACACATCCAGATGCTCTCACACACAGATTCACACACACACGCACACATTTCACACACTCTCACACACCCACTTACGCACACACGCACGCTAAGACAAACACACTCAAAAACCCACACTCACAAATACGACCCCACACACATACGCTCACACGAACACACACTTATACACGCGCAAACAGACATGCACGCACATACACACACAAGAACGCATTGACGCATTGCAACATGGTAATGCCCCCAAAAACAGCAATTACTTTGAGTCCAGGACTTTGAGAACATGGTGTTTCGTGGTGGAAATAATTTCTCTGATGTGTTTGGTTAGCTTCCCGTCAATCGTACACAGTTCCAAATAATTGTGGCATCATTAGAATTAATTACAGCTAAATTTTTTGTGCTATTGTTTCACCGATAAAAGAGGCATATTTATATTTTTTATTCACTATTTTATTTGTAAATAAAAAAGCTCCCACCACTTAGCCAACGAAAGTCCTGCGTGCTGTTGCTGAAATAATAGAAATGTCCTTTAGGTCTGGGTTAATGGGTTTTGGCGGAACGTCCCCTGGGTACAGAAATCACACAGTTGGCTGGATGTCAGTTAATGAATGCAGTATATCAATTATTGTCAACGGTTGGATTTTCTGGACACCTCATTCAGTGCGTCACCATACTGACAGATACAAAGCTTTGACTGTGTTTGTTTGTATCGGTAAAACTGTATGACCCGTGCGTGTATTTGTTTTTAAAAACAAATTGGTAATCATGTGCTGTGTTCAAAATGACGGTTGGTTGCAATTGGGACTCTCTTTCGCTCAGGAAGCAGACTCAGAATGCTGTTAGACCTTCTCTTGATCCCACTTGTATCGTCGCCTGCCGTTTACTTGTTTGCGTCCAACATGTCCTTCTAGTATGGGGTTTGTATAAATATTGCATTATACCGTTCAGTAGGGCAGGCGTCTTTTTATTATAACCATCAACAACTTTCTTTTTATTCATAATCTCCTCAGAACATCTGTATTTCATTGTTGTTGTTGTTGTTGTTGTTGTTTTTTTAAATTACTTTTATTTCATTCTCTCTCTCTCTCTCTCTCTCTCTCTCTCTCTCTCTCTCTCTCTCTCTCTCTCTCTCTCTCTCTCTCTCTCTCTCTCTCTCTCTCTCTCTCTCTGTCTGTCTGCCTGTCTTTCTGTATCTATCTTTCTCTCTATATTCCCCCTCCCCCACCCCGACTGTCATAAATATATTTACATAATTGATTATTTTCTTTGCCTACAAACACATTCGCATCTACTCTCCTGAAAAACACGTAACGTGACTGTGTATGCACATATTCTACTTTGATCACGTTAACTAGGCCTGTTCTACAACTGGTTGACTTTGATCATGTTAGCTAGACATGTTCTACAACTGGTTGACTTTGATCATGTTAACAGACATGTTCTACAACTGGTCTACTATGATCCTGTTAACTAGACCTGTTCTACAACTGGTTGACTTTGATCATGTTAACTAGACATGTTCTACAACTGGTCTACTTTGATCACGTTAACTAGGCCTGTTCTACAACTGGTCTACTCTGATCCTGTTAACTAGACGTGTTCTACAACCAGTCTACTCTGATCCTGTTAACTAGACATGTTCTACAACTGGTCTACTTTGATCACGTTAACTAGACATGTTCTACAACTGGTCTACTTTGATCATGTTAACTAAACATGTTCTACAACTGGTCTACTTTGATCATGTTAACTAGATAGTTCTACAACTGGTCTACTTTGATCATGTTAACTAGACATGTTCTACAACTGGTCTACTTTGATCACGTTAACTAGACATGTTCTACAACTGGTCGACTTTGATCACGTTAACTAGACATGTTCTACAACTGGTCGACTTAAGGTGGCCATTTTTTAGCCCGTGCTTCTGAAATAATAATTTGTACATGCCAGGATCAGTGTCACGTGGGTGTCATGTTGTGTATGTGTGTCGGTGTTGATCAAGTTTACTGGCGATGTGTTTTGTGTGCCCCTGTCATAAAAGAACCTGTGAGAAATTCTTCTTCTGTATGACAACAAACATGAGAGCAGCGGCATATTAACACTCAGGACTCCATCTCAACACTCAGGACTCCATATCAACACTCGGGACTCCATGTCAACACTCAGGACTCCACGTCAACACTCAGGACTCCATGTCAACACTCAGGACTCCATGTCAACACTCAGGACTCCACGTCAACACTCAGGACTCCATGTCAACACTCAGGACTCCATGTCAACACTCAGGACTCCACGTCAACACTCAGGACTCCATCTCATCACTCAGGACTCCACGTCAACACTCAGGACTCCACGTCAACACTCAGGACTCCACGTCAACACTCAGGACTCCATCTCAACACTCAGGACTCCACGTCAACACTCAGGACTCCATCTCAACACTCAGGACTCCAACACTCAGGACTCCACGTCAACACTCAGGACTCCACGTCAACACTCAGGACTCCACGTCAACACTCAGGACTCCTAACACTCAGGACTCCACGTCAACACTCAGGACTCCATCTCAACACTCAGGACTCCATCTCAACACTCAGGACTCCATCTCAACACTCAGGACTCCATCTTAACACTCAGGACTCCATCTCAACACTCGGGACTCCATCTCAACACTCGGGACTCCATCTCAACACTCGTTCCATGTCAACACTCAGGACTCCATGTCAACACTCGGGACTCCATGTCAACACTCAGGACTCCATGTCAACACTCAGGACTCCACGTCAACACTCAGGACTCCATGTCAACACTCAGGACTCCATGTCAACACTCAGGACTCCACGTCAACACTCAGGACTCCATACAACACTCAGGACTCCACTCAACACTCAGGACTCCACGTCAACACTCAGGACTCCACGTCAACACTCAGGACTCCACGTCAACACTCAGGACTCCATCTCAACACTCAGGACTCCACGTCAACACTCAGGACTCCATCTCAACACTCAGGACTCCACGTCAACACTCAGGACTCCACGTCAACACTCAGGACTCCACGTCAACACTCAGGACTCCACGCAACACTCAGGACTCCAACACTCAGGACTCATCAACACTCAACACTCAGGACTCCATCCATCAACACTCAGGACTCCATCTCAACACTCAGGACTCCATCTTAACACTCAGGACTCCATCTCAACACTCGGGACTCCATCTCAACACTCGGGACTCCATCTCAACACTCGAGACTCCATGTCAACACTCAGGACTCCATGTCAACACTCAGGACTCCATGTCAACACTCAGGACTCCATCTCAACACTCAGGACTCCATCTCAACACTCGGGACTCCATCTCAACACTCAGGACTCCATCTCAACACTCAGGACTCCATCTCAACACTCAGGACTCCATCTCAACACTCAGGACTCCATCTCAACACTCGGGACTCCATCTCAAACACTCAGGACTCCATCTCAACACTCGGGACTCCATGTCAACACTCAGGACTCCATCTCAACACTCGGGACTCCACGTCAACACTGGGAACTCCATGTCAACACTCAGAACTCCATGTCAACACTCAGGACTCCATGTCAACACTCAGGACTCCATGTCAACACTCAGGACTCCATCTAAACACTCAGGACTCCATGTCAACACTCGGGACTCCATCTCAACACTCGAGACTCCATGTCAACACTCGGAACTCCATGTCAACACTCGGGACTCCATGTCAACACTCAGGACTCCATCTCAACACTCAGGACTCCATGTCCATACTCGGAACTCCATGTCAACACTCGGGACTCCATGTCAACACTCAGGACTCCATCTCAACACTCAGGACTCCATGTCCATACTCGGAACTCCATGTCAACACCGGGGACTTCATGTCAACACTGGGGACTCCATGTCTACACTCGGGACTCCAATTAAACACTCGGAACTCCATGTCAGTCTTGGCAGTTTCATACTGAAAAAAAAAATTTGACATAGATTTTACTTACAAAACCTTCACTCCAGATGAGGCCTTTACTCCAGATGGGGCCTTCACTCAAGATGAGGCCTCCTGTGCAAATAGGGTATCAACTAAAAACTAGACTTTACTTACCAAGCCCCACTACAGATAGCTCTGCTACAATTGCGGACACACTATGGAGCCAACTTGCAAAGCCTCCACTCGAGATTCTTGTGAGACATTGTGAGACAAACTTTACTTACGAAGCCTCCACTCCAGATTGGCGAGACACTGTGAGCCAGCCAGACTTCGGCCTTAAAGCTGCTGATAACCCCCAGGCAGACACTGAGGATGCCGAGAAAGATGTGGAAGCCGGACACTACGAACACTGCCGTCTCCACAAGTTTAAATATGGTCCTGGGTTTGCTGGTTCGCTGGTTGGCCATCTTCAGTTGTCACGTGATGTGTCTGTACCAGTCAGTATTCGCCTTGTCTGGGAGCCTCAGGTGGATCTTTGAGAAGTCAGCCAAGAACTGTTTAAGTGGAGTGTTCTCTGGAGAGCTTATCTTCTCTCGTCTGTTGAGTTCATAGGCGTGTTTATTGTGGCGTGTTTACTGTTAACTGGAAATGGTTAACTTGAAACCTGCACAAGAGTTGTATTTACTCAGAATCTACGAAAGCGTCTCAGGGCAGCCAAATGCAGACTGTAGGACTGCACCAGTAAGTGCTGGAGCTATGAGAACTTGCCCAAGGAGCCGAGCCAGCACAGACACAGCTCAACATCTCAATAGAAAGAAATCAGCCAGGAAAACACGACGTCCAGTTTTTAATGTGTGTGGTGATGTTCAGACATTGCTGCTTGGTGGCGGTAAGTTGTCACTCAGATTTCCGCTGCCGTTGATGTGTAATTTGTGGCTGTGGTTACAAAATGTTCCGATATTATCTGGCGTTTGTCATCTCTGCAAGAACAGACAAATTTGTTTGTGACAGCATTGAGAAAAGTAAAAGAAAAACATATAATACAAACAGGTGTGTGCGCAGATTTAAAAACAGTAACAACACACTATACCGCATTGGTGCGGCGACACAGGCAGACAGTTTCTTATCTGCTGTCTGTACTGGTGGTAGAGCACTTATGGTTTATAACTATGTGCAATGACGCTGGTTCACATCTCCCGACTTTACTTTTTTTTTTTTTTTTTTACAGGAGAGAATTCAGAAGAATAAAATGGACAGACAACATGAAGGTGACTCTAGACAACCGCGTGTATAAAGTATCTCTGGTTTTTGGATGAAACAGCCATATTTCGACTGGTTAGGGCGCCATGTTTTCAAACGTAGATGGATGTTTGACTGACTGATTGACTTTCTACCCCACCAGGACATCACACAAGCGATAAACACCCGATGACACCAAATGCCACCATGTGGGTGAGGATCACTGTGGAGAGGTCCCAGAAACCGCGTTAAGTCTTTAGGCCATATTTATGGCCAGATGGCCAGGCTATATTGCCGCCCCTGGCAAAAGCCAGAGTAGGGCTTCAAATAACGAAAAAATCCATCTTAAAAAGGACGGGAAATAATTGATAGATGGATGTTTCAACAAAGAATATGCTTCTCTAAAGGCATTATAATATGGAGCCTGGTGTGATTTAATTATTGTCCTGGTTCTAGTCGCCACGTTCATGTTGTCAGTCCTGTCTGTCTTTAACTGGAAAGCTGACTGGTTTGCATGCGGTTTGGGTTTTCCAGTCTTACAGTAAGGTGTTGAGCAAATATCTGATTGCGAACCAATGGCCGCACCATAAAGACAAGTTCAGACACGCTCGTGAAATAAACAATGTCGGGGTGAACTAGAACAGCAAGTGACACTTGTGTGACCAACCAACCAAACACAAGAATGTACCGGAACGGTCAAAGTTTATTTTCGCTGTAAATATTCATAAAGCAACAGTGTAATTGTATTTCTACAAATAATTAGAGTTGTGACATTGAAATGAGAGAACAACGCGCGATCTCAACATAACCGTTGGGTATAATGGGCGCCAGGGGACACAATCGGAAAGTTTATCGGTGACAAATGCTCTTGACCAACCATTATTGTCTCTGGGATGAAGGTTCGGGGAACTTGTGGCCACAGAAGCTTGGACAACTTAACGTGGGATGATGACGGTTCGGGGAACTTGTGGCCACAGAAGCTTGGACAACTTAACGATGGAGGGATTGATGGATGCATGGAGGGATTGATGGATGAATGGAGGGATTGATGGGCGAATGGAGGGATTGATGGAGGGGAGGGATGATGGATGCATGGAGGGATTGATGGGTGAATGGAGGGATTGATGGGTGAATGGAGGGATTGATGGGTGAATGGAGGGATTGATGGGTGAATGGAGGGATTGATGGGTGAATGGAGGGATTGATGGGCGAATGGAGGGATTGATGGATTCATGGAGGGATTGATGGATGAATGGAGGGATTGATGGGCGAATGGAGGGATTGATGGGTGAATGGAGGGATTGATGGATGAATGGAGGGATTGATGGATGCATGGAGGGATTGATGGGTGAATGGAGGGATTGATGGGCGAATGGAGGGATTGATGGATTCATGGAGGGATTGATGGATTCATGGAGGGATTGATGGGCGAATGGAGGGATTGATGGGTGAATGGAGGGATTGATGGGATGGGAGGGATGATGGGCGATGGAGGGATTGATGGAATGGAGGGATGATGGATGGAGGGATTGATGGGCGAATGGAGGGATTGATGGATGATGGAGGGATTGATGGATGAATGGAGGGATTGATGGATGAATGGAGGGATTGATGGATGGAGATGGATGGGATTGGATGGATGGATGATGGAGGGATTGATGGGGAATGAGGGATTGATGGATTCATGGAGGGATTGATGGGCGAATGGAGGGATTGATGGGTGAATGGAGGGATTGATGGGCGAATGGAGGGATTGATGGATTCATGGAGGGATTGATGGATGCATGGAGGGATTGATGGGTGAATGGAGGGATTGATGGGCGAATGAGGGATGATGGATGGATGGATGGATGGAGGGATGATGGATGATGGATGGATGGCGATGGATGGATGATGGATTGATGGAGGGATGGATGGATGGATGGATGATGGATGAATGGAGGGATTGATGGATGGATGATGATGGGATTGATGATGATGGAGGGATTGATGGATGATGGAGGGATTGATGGGTGAATGGAGGGATTGATGGATGATGGAGGGATTGATGGATGGAGGGATTGATGGGTGATGGATGGATGGATAGGTGATGGAGGGATTGATGGATGATGGGAGGGATGATGATGGATGATGATGGAGGGATGATGATGGATGATGATGATGATGGAGGGATTGATGGGCGAATGGAGGGATTGATGGATGCATGGAGGGATTGATGGATGAATGGAGGGATTGATGGATGATGGAGGGATGATGGATGATGGATGGATGATGATGATAGATGATGGAGGGATTGATGGATGATGGAGGGATTGATGGATGAATGGAGGGATGATGGATGAATGGAGGATGATTGATGGATGATGATAGATGGAGGGATTGATGGATGAATGGAGGGATTGATGGATGAATGGAGGGATGATGGATGAATGGAGGGATTGATGATGATGGAGGGATTGATGGATGATGGAGGGATTGATGGATGAATGGATGGATGGATGATGGAGGGATGATGATGGAGGGATAGATGGATGATGATGGATTGATGGATGAGATGGATTGATGGATGCATGGAGGGATTGATGATGGATGGATGATGATGGATGATGATGGATGATGATGGAGGGATTGATGGATGAATGGAGGGATGATGGATGATGGAGGGATTGATGGATGAATGGAGGGATTGATGGATGCATGGAGGGATTGATGGATGAATGGAGGGATGATGGATGCATGGAGGGATTGATGGATGAATGGAGGGATTGATGGATGCATGGAGGGATTGATGGATGATGATGGAGGGATTGATGGATGATGGAGGGATGATGGATGAATGGAGGGATGATGGATGATGGATGGATTGATGGATGATGGAGGGATTGATGGATGTGATGGAGGGATTGATGGATGCATGGAGGGATTGATGGATGATGGAGGGATGATGGATGAATGGAGGGATTGATGGATGATGGAGGGATTGATGGATGAATGGAGGGATTGATGGATGAATGGAGGGATTGATGGATGATGGAGGATTGATGGATGAATGGAGGGATTGATGGATGATGATGAGGATATTGAGGGATGGATGGATGGATGCATGGAGGGATTGATGGATGAATGGATGGATTGATGGATGATGGATGGATGATGGGGATGGAGGGATGATGATGAATGGAGGGATTGATGGATGGATGAATGGAGGGATTGATGGATGCATGGAGGGATTGATGGGTGAATGATGAGAGGGATTGATGGATGAATGGAGGGATTGATGGATGAATGGAGGGATTGATGGATGAATGGAGGGATGAGATGATGGTGATGGAGGGATTGATGGATGAATGGAGGGATTGATGGATGAATGGAGGGATTGATGGATGAATGGAGGGATTGATGGGTGAATGGAGGGATTGATGGATGCATGGAGGGATTGATGGATGAATGGATGGATTGATGGATGAATGGAGGGATTGATGGGTGATGGAGGGATGATGGGTGAATGGAGGGATGATGATGAATGGAGGGATTGATGGATGCATGGAGGGATTGATGGATGAATGGAGGGATTGATGGATGAATGGAGGGATGATGGATGATGGAGGGATGATGGATGAATGGAGGGATTGATGGATGAATGGAGGGATTGATGGAGATGGAGATGATGTGATGATGAGATGGAGGGATTGATGGATGCATGGAGGGATTGATGGATGAATGAGGGATTGATGGATGCATGGGGGATGATGGATGGAGGGATGATGGGTGAATGGAGGGATTGATGGGTGAATGGAGGGATTGATGGATGAGATGGAGGGATTGATGGATGAATGGAGGGATTGATGGATGGAGGGATGGATGGATGAATGATGGATGATGGATGAATGGAGGGATGATGGGCGAATGGAGGGATTGATGGATGGAGGAGATGATGGATGAATGGATGGATTGATGGGTGATGGAGGGATTGATGGATGAATGGAGGGATTGATGGATGATGGAGGGATTGATGGATGAATGGAGGGATTGATGGATGATGAAGATGAGATGGGATGGATGGATTGATGGATGATGGAGGGATTGATGGGCGAATGGAGGGATTGATGGATGAATGGAGGGATTGATGGCGATGGAGGGATTGATGGGTGAATGGAGGGATTGATGGATGAATGGAGGGATTGATGGGCGAATGGAGGGATTGATGGATGAATGGAGGGATTGATGG